CTCTGGAGTCTGCGGCAGGAAGTGGTTAACAGTTCCACTTTGACATCTGTCAATACACTAATGAATTCACTTGGTTTACAAATTTACATGAAATATGAATTGACCTTTATATGCGAAAGTTTCATTGATTGGGAACTGGTAATGTGACTTATTTCATCAGGTAGAGTACACACTGTGAACATCTTGATCCCTCGCAGTATGATGGCTGTACCACCTGCTCTTGAAGTTACCATAAACCAAGATTGTTATATTTTCAACACATTAAGAATTTAGTAGACCCTGAAATTGCCCTTAGAAATGTTTTATTTTAATAACAACAGGTTTTTATATAATTCGTTTTGTAGCAGGGGCAGATTTAACTTAGTTTATTTCCTTTGTACTAAATGCAAATGTCCACGTACTGTATAGGAGTAGCACCTCCTAGTCTACCCATCCCAAGTTGCATTGTGCCCCTCATAATTGTTTACTTGATGATGACTCATGCAACTGGACCAGGCACTGTGGGCATGCTTTGAGCCCAAGTCTCAGTAAGCAGGTTGGCAGTCGGTGAAGTAACACACCTATTAAATGCCAGAAAGCTCAGACCTGCGGTGGACTTGGTAGTTAACGCTTGAGTTGAATTGATCTGTAACTTTTCTTAGGTGCTGTGTTGGTTTTGTTGGTTTTATTGGTTCTTGGTTTTTTTTTCTTTTTAGTTTGGGTTGGTCTTGTTTTAGATTGGTTAAGCCTTACCTTGATTCTGTTGCGGATTTACTTTGGTCTAGGATTGGTCTAATTTCTAAATTTAATTTTGGTCTTGGTCATATTTCTCCTACATTTTAGGTTTGGTTTCTACAATTCTCTGATTTTCGACCTAGTCCTGTTTTTTTAGTTCTCCAGTTGCATTCCTTTTTGGGGGGATATTTCTTACAAGAAATAAAAGATTTTGTTGTTAGAATCAAGTTTCAGCTTCCGTATCCCTATTCTTTTAGACTTCTTGCGACTTCTCCCTTTTGATTGTTTTGAAAGTTTTTTTTGCGAGTTCCCCAAGTGTTTTATTTTTTTCAAGTCTCTTCTTTATTTTTCTATTCTCATCTAAAGTGTGCCATTTTTCCCCCGTTACACGTTTCACTAAGATCAAAGTGCTTTCTATTATTACCTCTGCTCATTGGCCCATGAAACAATCCCAATACCATCTCGGCTCCCTAGGGAGTATACAGCGCGATGCAGCTATTTTAACGCAAAGCAGCTAAATCTGTCACAATAACCACCTCTACCAATTTATTCCTGGATGGGGAAAAGCAAGGAGTGACTAATAAAGTGCCTTACCCAAGGGCACATGCACCATGACCCCGGGCTGGATTCAAACCTGCAACCTGTGGCTTTAACGTCAACTATGAATCCAATGCTCTTAACCACCAGGACACAGCACTCCACATTTCCATGGGAATCTGGCAACTTCACAGATTGATGCCAGCACATGTGCTGTTAGGCATTTCACAATGCTGAGAATTCTGTGAAAGGCCCATAACATATCCTGTTATATGCCACTGGTTTTCAGTTAGGGGTCATTAAAGATGTATGTAGTTTAATGATGGAGATCATTTACCGGTATGTCACACTAGGCTTATATATAACTGAAAACATACTATACTGAAAATACAAATGTTCTTGTCATTGACCAAGTTTACAATCGACTTTTAGAACCTTTTTTCCTGGGTTGGATCACTATAAAAGTTGTCATCTGTCTAAAATCATTGTTGAGGGGGTATGACCATCAGCAATGGATAGTGCTTTAATTTTGCAGCCTTGACAAGCAGTAATGACGGCTAACAGGAAGGCCAGCATCATACCCAAATGAAGAAGGCTAGCTTGTCCCGCCGTTTCGAAAGGGGGGGCTGGCGAGAGCCAGGTTGGAAAAGCAGGTCATGACACTGAGGGAACAACAGGGGAATGTCAACTAACAGCCTCACGAAGTGGGAAAACCATGGCTGCCTCGGCCAGAAAGGAGCGATGAGAAGAATTTGGCAATGTTCTTTCTCTATCTTTGAAAAGACCCTTGGGATCAGCAAAATGGGGGGAAAAGCGTAGGCTAGGAGACCTTCCCATGAGATGCACAGAGCATCAGTCGCCCAAGCCTGAGAATGCGGGAATCGAGTGCAGAATGTTGGGAGTTGAGCATTCAGATTAGAGGCAAAAAGGCCTACGTGCTGTCTGTCGATTACTTGAAAAAGAGCACAGACCACCTCTGGCTGAAGAGTCCATTCTGTCGGGCAGACCTTGCCCCGGGAGAGAACATCGGCCAGATTGTTCTGTAACCCGGGGATGTGCTCGGCAAGTACCAGGACAGAATGACGGGTGGACCACTGAAGTAGATCCCAGGCCAGGAAGCAAAGGTTCCGTGAGCGAATGCCCCCTTTGCGGTTGATGTAGGCAACAGCCCTAGCAATGTCTGACCGAACTAGATCTGTCTTGTTAGTCAGGAGTGGCAGGAAGTGACGTAGAACATTGAAGATAACCTGCAGCTCGAGAACGTTTATGTGGGAGTCTTGCATGGCTGGTTCCCATTGGCCGGAGATTAGATATGGTGGTAGACTGGCTCCCCATCCGTAGGTCAAACCGTCTGTAGTCAGTACCACATCCTGACACGAAGGCGCAAAGGGAAGGCCGGTGGTGACGTTGGCCTTGGAGGACCACTACGTCAGGAGATGGCTTAGAAAAACTGGAACTGGGACGATTCCTGAGGAAGTCCAGTGAATCTGTGTGTGGTCTGAAGTGAGACAGGCAATGGAGTTGGAAAGGTCTCATGTGAAGCTGACACCAAGGGACAAGATCAACAAGACTGGCCATGAGACCGAGAAGCTGAAGCCAAGCCCGAGCATTTATTTGTTGGCCGACTTGAAATAGAGCAACACACTTTATCAGATTGTCCATGTGGGCATTCGTAGGAAAAACCACGCCGCGGTGGAGATTGAGAACAGCTCCGAAAAACGTGGACATCTGTGACAGAGCTGTCCTTGACTTGTCGTAATTGATTAGGAATCCCAGACAAGTTGTAAGAGCCCAAACTCTTGTGGTGGCCGAAATAGGAAGACTGGATATTGTTGCTCCTCCCAGCTGCAGCTAGAGGAACTGTGTTTGCAGCGATGAGCTTCACAGCTTCCCAGAGACGCTCTCTTGTTGGTTCTGCATGTGATCAAGCTGCTGCTGCAGTAATGTCACCTTCATCTGCAGATCTCTCATGATATCTATTGAGGCAATTGCTGCTCAATGGAATCAGATGGGGCTTCGTTGATCAGACAATGGACTTCCCCTGCTACATTTGCACGGATGAGGTTTCTTAAACCATTCAGTGGTACATCATCATCAGAGTCTTAACTGTCCGTGCTGTCTGTTAAAAAAGTGGCATGGAAGATATTAAAAGTTGAGTAGAAACACACCATCGGACACATATTTAGACCTCTTGAATTTCAGATCCATTTCAGTTTTCCATTAAAAACAAATTCACAGCCATATGCAAATTGTTGAAACAGGTAGAAGCTTTTAAAAGAACTTTTTACTTACATTGACATTTGTTGATTGGGCTGCGGGAAGTGCTACCGAAAGAGGAGTCCATTTTTGCAAACGTATTGTAGAATATCCAGAGGTACATGTAAATTGAGCAAGATGTTTATACACAGGTGCGCTCAACGGTTGTGCTGAGAAATGCGCATTCGGTCATAATTGCATATTAATGGGCATCGTTGTATAGTGATTCGCTTCACCGGGTACGCTCGTGATTGGGTCGTTAGTGGGGTTTGATTTTAAGCCAATTATTTAAAACGTTTGGCAAACAACGCATTGAATAAGCCCTCATATCGCGTCTGTTAAAGTTCCAAGATTGAATTCCACCTGCTACATTTTCATCGTGAGCCGGAAAAACCAGTTTTTAGCCCCCTTAGAGCTGCAGCAAACATCTCCACCAAACACGGAAACGCAGAAAGAAACCGATCTTCGAAAAATATCCTTCACTGGTGTCCACGATTGTCGACGTGCTAACACAGCATGGTTTCACTGCTCACAGACGGCGGTCAGAATCGTAGTCTTCCGTTGGTGTTAGAGCTCGTCAGCTGCAAGAAGAGCTTGTGAAGAAAATACCCGAGCTCGAGAAACGCGGCATTAGCACAAGCACATTGTGACGGCTTTTTGCCCCACCGAATCGTTCCAACAAGGAAGGCCAGCATTAGACAGCAATCTGTCATCGATGCCAAGGTTGGAGTCAAGAAAAATGACATTGGCAATACCCACAAGGCTTCTCACTTTT